GTGTGGGGGGGAGTGTACTCATAGCCGTGCATGCGGTAGTCGTTAGACCATTGACCTCGCATCCCTACAAAGCCGGGACGGAGCACGCCGGGTTGTCACCGGACCAGGCTCTCACAGGGGGTCGTTAGCTCTAGGTCTGTTTTCGAGTTTACTTTTTTAGGTGTGCTGATGTGCGGCGGTGTTTGTTTGATGTTGACGGGGCCTTTCGAGGTTTCCCCGTCTTTGGTGTCGGATCTTTGTCTATGCACGCGGTGATGACGTCTTTGAGTTGTTGGTCGCATACTTTTCTCTTCTGTAATTTCAGGCTGCCTCCTGTACGATCCACCAATCGTTTTGTTTTGCAAGCCAGATGGGTTTGTTCCATGGGAGGAGGAAGAGGGGCACGGCGGTACCATCCACCATGTCGGTTTTTGTTTTGGACGGACGAAGGGAATCGGTTCCTCGAGACTGCGCACTGTCCGCAACTCAATCAAGTTGGGACGTTCTCGCTCTTATTCGCTTGGAATAGCCATCTATCCACTGCTGTTGAGACCGCGCATGATAACCCCCTCTAGACAGCAGCGGCGCAGACTGAGTTGTGTGTCGATCGTCTTGGCGACACAGCAGCTTCTTGGCACTTGTTGCTGCAGTAGAGAAGAATTCTTGGCCGACAGCCAACAACGATTTAACTGTGCGACCCCCCCACGCACGCACCTCCTTTTGTCTTCGCTCTGATATGGTGCAAGAAGCAGCCACATACCTTTCCTGCACTCTGTAGGGGCCTCCTGTAGCGCTGAGAATCCCCGCAAACCTGTACCCTGCATTAACACTGATTCCGTCCAACACATCCTTCACTTGTGCTCCAACAGTTGACCAACCGGTTCCGCATGGAATCTACTCTCTCCGTTCAAGAACACATGCCTTCATTTGTTTCTATCCTAACAGGTGACCAACCGGTTCCGCATGGAGTCTGTGGGGCACGCGACTTCCAGGGGTTTCCACAGGCCCGGGATGGATGTCATGGCCACTGCCAAATCTTGGAAGGTGGGTTATCGCTCCATTTTATGCATGGGGATCCCCCCCCCCCCCCCTTCAGTTTTTTTGTGTTGATGGGTGGCCAGGTTGATCCGTGTCCTATATATAAGCACGTGGTGTTATGAACCCTTGGCCTAAAGTACCATCTGGGCGATTATGTCTTGTAGAGATGCACCGACCGCCTGCCTGGACCCTTTCCTGTCATTCCTTGTTCATACAAGCAGCAGCCGACCGACCAGGAGCAAGCAGTACACACCCTCTTTTTCAGTGTTGCCTGAGAGTGAGCGAGATAGCGAGGGACCGAGCTAGAGAACACGGGATGAGGACTGGGGCAGCTAGCGTGCACATCAGTGTTGCCTGAGAGTGAGCCATATAGCGAGGGACCGAGTTAGAGAAAACGGGATGAGGACTGGGGCCGCTAGCGTGCACATTGCAGTCGTCGGATTTCGCTTCCCGCTGCAATCGCGTCACACACTTTTGGCGTAGTCGGCAGGACCGCTCCAAGTGGCCGCTACTGCTGTCGTCGCAGACGCTGCACTTTCCGTGCCCTCTTTCTTCTGTTGCGGGCCTCGCGTGGCAGTTTGGCGGTCTGATCTTCTTGTTGTCGCCACAACGCCTGCGTGACGCCATCGCGACTGCCAGCAGCTCTTTTTGCTGGTGCTGGATGGTCGAGCACCCGTGTTTCTGACCATCGAGCACCAGCAATGAGCTGCCGACAGCCGCGATGTCGTCGCGCAGGCGGTGCGGCAACAAAAAAGTCAGGCCGCCGAGCTGCCACGTGAGGCTCGCGTCGAAGGAAGAGAGGGAATACTGCAGAGTCGGCGGCGACAGCAGCGGTCACTCGAGCTCGGGAGCGACTGCCACGGCCCGCCTGGCCCATTTCCTTGAGCACGCTGCAGCCCCCAAGCGGGAACTGCACGACCCGTGGTATTCCCTTCACGCACACACACCTAGCTATGCTGGGGTAAAATGCGGGAAGTGATACAGATATGATAAGAAATCGTTTTAGGGTCACTTTTGGCAAAGTGTCTAGGAAGG